TGTTATCAACACATCTGCGTGTCTTCTCACACTGGATGAATTTGGGAAGCATTAAATTCCCTTAGATGTTTCAGTGGACCTCATTTGGACCTGTTTTGTATCTTTTGGAATCTTTCTGGAGGGAACCTCATCTGTATATGTCGTAGTTGAATAGTTGGAGTTTGAGAACCCGTTTTACGCGGTGATATGCAGTAGTCGTGATTTTTTTCACTAGTGTTTTCATATCACTAGGGTGGTGAAACTCCAATAATGATAAAAATTTCGCGGAAAACATTGTTAGTGATTTTCCCGATGTATTACGCCACTTTACGTAAAACGTTTAAAACTCGGATAAATATTATATTTTATATTTTTCGTTTCTACCATCACTCGGAAAATATACTATATTTTACGACTGCATTATAATCGTGCGTGAAAAATTCACATTCACGTATTGCTTCTACGATTCTAGTAATATAATCCCCACTTCAAATGCTCATAGAATGTCTTCTATTATATTTTACAGCTACATAATCGTGCGTGAAAAATTCACATAACAATTCTCGATAATATAATTCCTCATGAAAATATTTTTTATGTTATATCCAGGGACTGCTTTTTTTTCTTTTTCCTCTTTTTATGAGTTCGGATGATGAACTTGAGAGCTCATCTATTCACGGCGTTGAGGAAATGCAAGATGGATCAAGTGAAGCAAGTGGAGCGTTGGAGGATGACATAATCGTTGGTGAACAAATCGCGCAGGAAATGAGATTTGGAATTAATAATAACTGGTATCCCGGATTTAGACCACCGAGAATGTAATAATAATTTTGTGGCGCGCGGTAAAATTGGTTTGAAAATCTTCGCTGTGCGTAAAGATATCTTTTTTAGATTCTCATCATCACCAATAAACGGCAATCGAATAATTTGTGCAACTGGTAGGTTTAGGGGAATTTTTTCGATTTTTTCCGGAAATTTTTTTCAGGAATTTTGGACACGAGTGGATCGGTTATCAAGGCTAAAGAGGATAAGGAGTATAACTTGGGTTGGCTGGCAGATGTAATCGTCACTCGCCACGAAATTATTACGGAAAAAATAGAAATTGGTGTGATTTTTGCTGGGAAAAATCGACTTTTTCAATAATTTTCGTAAGAAAAATCTCAATGGAGTTTCACCACCCTAGTGATATGAAAAACTTTCGGGAAAATAAATTTCACGACTACTGCATATCACCGCAAATATCGGGTTTTCACTTCACGTAAAAACGTGTGAAACTGCATTAATTTTCTAATTTTTTGAAATAAAATTTACGAAAAAATATCAAATATGATGTATATTTTTGCAAATTTTTGATATTTTTTCGTTTTTCAGGTGAACACATCATTACCAGCGCTGAAAGGAGACCTGCTAGTACCTGGTGCAAAAGATCGAACGAGCCAACCGAAAGAGCATCGTAATAATAATTTCGTGGCGCGCGGGAAAAATATAACCTAATTTTAGAGGGGTATTTATGTGAGACTTTTTCTCCTTATTTTTCGGAAAATTCGGGAAAAAATGGTGGTTTTTCGATTAGGAGAAAAATTTCTGAGTTTTCGAAAAGTGAGAATTTTTGGGGAAAATCTTGTGTAAAAATGTAAGGGAATTTTTTTTTCCAGATATTTATGATATGTTTTTGAGTTTTTACTGAGGAAGGGAATTTTTGGTAAAATTTTATTTTTTTTATGGATCGGATTTCAACACTTGAAATTTTCCGGAAAATTTGTGGAAAAATTTCCGCGGATTTTTCTGATGATTGGAGTTTCACCCGTTTTACGCGAAGTGGCGTAATACTCCACGTGAAAAACGTGATATTCGCGATGTGAAGTGAATTGAAAACACTTCGGCGATTACACCAGACAAATCATCACATTTCACGTAAAACGCTTCCGGCATTTCGCGATAAACGCGAAAAA